GTAGTTATTGTTACAAATTGATATCATGTATCAGATCCCTGCAGTCACTGCTCCAAGTTGATATCATGTATTAGATCCCTGCAGTCATTGTTACAAGGTGACATAATGTATCAAATTCCTGTAGTTATTGTTACAAATTGATATCATGTATCAGATCCCTGCAGTCACTGCTCCAAGTTGATATCATGTATCAGATGCCTGCAGTCACTGCTCCAAGTTGATATCATGTATCAAATCCCTGAGGTCATTGCTACAAGTTGATATCATGTATCAAATCCCTACAGTCATTGCTACAAGGTGACATAATGTATCAAATTCCTTCAATTATTGTTACAAATTGATATCATGTATCAAATCCCTGCAGTCACTGCTCCAAGTTGATATCATGTATCAGATCCCTGCAGTCATTGCTACAAGTTGATATCATGTATCAGATCCCTGCAGTCACTGCTCCAAGTTGATATCATATATCAAATCCCTGCAGTCATTGCTACAAGTTGATATCATGTATCAGATCCCTGCAGTCACTGCTCCAAGTTGATATCATATATCAAATCCCTGCAGTCATTGCTACAAGTTGATATCATGTATCAGATCCCTGCAATCATTGCTACAAGTTGATATCATGTATCAAATCCCTGCAGTCATTGCTACAAGTTGATATCATGTATCAGATCCCTGCAGTCATTGCTACAAGTTAATATCATGTATCAAATCCCTGCAGTCATTGCTACAAGTTGATATCATGTATCAAATCCCTGCAGTCATTGCTACAAGGTGACATAGTGTATCAAATTCCTGTAGTTATTGTTACAAGTTGATATCATGTATCAAATCCCTGCAGTCATTGCTACAAGTTGATATCTTGTATCAGATCCCTGCAGTCATTGCTACAAGTTAATATCATGTATCAAATCCCTGCAGTTATTGCTACAAGTTGATATCATGTATCAGATCCCTGAAGTTATTGCTACAAGGTGACATAATGTATAAAATCCCTCCAGTCATTGCTACAAGGTGACATAATGTATCAAATTCCTGTAGTTATTGTTACAGATTGATTTCATGTATCAGATTCCTGCAGTCACTGCTACAAGTTGATATCATATATCAAATCCCTGCAGTTATTGCTACAAGTTGATATCATGTATCAGATCCCTGCAGTTATTGCTACAAGGTGACATCATGTATCAAAGCTCTGCAGTTATCGCTACAAGCTGATATCATGTATCAAATTTCTGCCTGCAAATATCATCATAATAATTAGCAAATCACTGAAGTTACCACTACAAGACAGTATCATATATCACATCCCAGCAGTATAACTACAACACAAAGAATCACGTATGCAATCCCTGCAGGATTACTACAACAGACATATCCTGTATAAACAAAAATGCCCTTAGTGATCAATGCAACACCATATATCAAAACCATGCAGTATTATACCAGACAACACCATATATCAAAACCATGCTGTATTATACCAGACAACACCATATATCAAAACCATGCAGTATTATACCAGACACCATATATCAAAACCATGCTGTATTATACCAGACAACACCATATATCAAAACCATGCAGTATTATACCAGACAACACCATATATCAAAACCATGCAGTATTATACCAGACAACACCATATATCAAAACCATGCAGTATTATACCAGACAATGCCATATATCAAAACCATGCAGTATTATACCAGACAATGCCATATATCAAAACCATGCAGTATTATACCAGGCAACACCATATATCAAAACCATGCTGTATTATACCAGACAACACCATATATCAAAACCATGCAGTATTATACCAGACACCATATATCAAAACCATGCAGTATTATACCAGACAACACCATATATCAAAACCATGCTGTATTATACCAGACAACACCATATATCAAAACCTTGCTGTATTATACCAGACAACACCATATATCAAAACTATGCAGTATTATACCAGACAACGCCATATATCAAAACCATGCAGTATTATACCAGACAACACCATATATCAAAACCATGCTGTATTATACCAGACAACACCATATATCAAAACCATGCAGTATTATACCAGACAACACCATATATCAAAACCATGCTGTATTATACCAGACAACACCATATATCAAAACCATGCAGTATTATACCAGACAACACCATATATCAAAACCATGCTGTATTATACCAGACAACGCCATATATCAAAACTATGCAGTATATATACCAGACAACGCCATATATCAAAACCATGCAGTATTATACCAGACAACACCATATATCAAAACCATGCTGTATTATACCAGACAACACCATATATCAAAACCATGCAGTATTATACCAGACAACACCATATATCAAAACCATGCTGTATTATACCAGACAACGCCATATATCAAAACTATGCAGTATTATACCAGACAACGCCATATATCAAAACCATGCAGTATTATACCAGACAACACCATATATCAAAACCATGCTGTATTATACCAGACAACACCATATATCAAAACCATGCAGTATTATACCAGACAACACCATATATCAAAACCATGCTGTATTATACCAGACAACACCATATATCAAAACCATGCAGTATTTTACCAGACAACACCATATATCAAAACCATGCTGTATTATACCAGACAACGCCATATATCAAAACTATGCAGTATTATACCAGACAATGCCATATATCAAAACCATGCTGTATTATACCAGACAACACCATATATCAAAACCATGCTGTATTATACCAGACAACACCATATATCAAAACCATGCAGTATTATACCAGACAACACCATATATCAAAACTATGCAGTATTATACCAGACAACACCATATATCAAAACCATGCTGTATTATACCAGACAACACCATATATCAAAACCATGCTGTATTATACCAGACAACACCATATATCAAAACTATGCTGTATTATACCAGACAACACCATATATCAAAACCATGCTGTATTATACCAGACAACACCATATATCAAAACCATGCTGTATTATACCAGACAACACCATATATCAAAACCATGCTGTATTATACCAGACAACGCCATATATCAAAACTATGCAGTATTATACCAGACAACGCCATATATCAAAACCATGCTGTATTATACCAGACAACACCATATATCAAAACTATGCAGTATTATACCAGACAACGCCATATATCAAAACCATGCTGTATTATACCAGACAACACCATATATCAAAACCATGCAGTATTATACCAGACAACACTATATATCAAAACCATGCAGTATTATACCATACAATGCCATATATCAAAACCATGCAGTATTATACCAGACAATGCCATATATCAAAACCATGCAGTATTATACCAGACAACACCATATATCAAAACCATGCAGTATTATACCAGACAACACCATATATCAAAACTATGCAGTATTATACCAGACAACACCATATATCAAAACCATGCAGTATTATACCAGACACCATATATCAAAACCATGCAGTATTATACCAGACAACACCATATATCAAAACTATGCAGTATTATACCAGACAACACCATATATCAAAACTATGCTGTATTATACCAGACAACACCATATATCAAAACTATGCAGTATTATACCAGACAACACCATATATCAAAACCATGCAGTATTATACCAGACAACACCATATATCAAAACCATGCAGTATTATACCAGACACCATATATCAAAACCATGCAGTATTATACCAGACACCATATATCAAAACCATGCAGTATTATACCAGACAGCATTATGTATCAAAACCATGCAGTATTATACCAGACAACACCATATATCAAAACCATGCAGTATTATACCAGACACCATATATCAAAACCATGCAGTATTATACCAGACACCATATATCAAAACCATGCAGTATTATACCAGACACCATATATTAAAACCATGCAGTATTATACCAGACAACACCATATATCAAAACCATGCAGTATTATACCAGACAACACCATATATCAAAACCATGCAGTATTATACCAGACAACACCATATATCAAAACCATGCAGTATTATACCAGACACCATATATCAAAACCATGCAGTATTATACCAGACACCATATATCAAAACCATGCAGTATTATACCAGACACCATATATCAAAACCATGCAGTATTATACCAGACAACACCATATATCAAAACCATGCAGTATTATACCAGACAACGCTATATATCAAAACTATGCAGTATTATACCAGACAACACCATATATCAAAACCATGCAGTATTATACCAGACAACGCCATATATCAAAACTATGCAGTATTATACCAGACAACACCATATATCAAAACCATGCAGTATTATACCAGACAACGCCATGTATCAAAACCATGCAGTATTATACCAGACAACGCCATGTATCAAAACCATGCAGTATTATACCAGACAGCATTATGTATCAAAACCATGCAGTATTATACCAGACAGCATTATGTATCAAAACCATGCAGTATTATACCAGACAACACCATATATCAAAACCATGCAGTATTATACCAGACAACGCCATGTATCAAAACCATGCAGTATTATACCAGACAGCATTATGTATCAAAACCATGCAGTACAACACCAGACAGTATTGTGTATCCAAAATGTCCATAGTTCTAACATCTGGCAGTATCATGTCTAAAAATCACCTGTAGTTATCACTACAACAGACAGTACCATATAAAAATCACCTGCAATTATCATTATAACAGACAATGTCATGTCTAAAAGTCACCTGCAGTTATTATTACATCAGGCAGTATCATGTACAACAACAACAACAACAAAATCACCTCTAGTTATTACTACGAGAGGCAGAATTATGTATCAAAAACATTTACTGACAAATAATGTGGCATAAACTATTGAAAAAAACTTTGAAAAAAGCTAACATCCATAAACAAAACTTTATCAGTCTTAGTGATGGTCAAGAGGTCATCTTAAAGGTTTCCCCAGCCGCAACATATTTTTAGTTTCCTGCTGGTAAACATCAGGGATCCAGCCAATCGGCGATGTCACCATTTTGACAGAGTTGCGACCCAGCAGGCGACGTTCGTAGTCAATGAGCTGCCTCCAGAAGCCAGGGTTGGGATGGATGACAGGTCTGCGTTTCTTGACATGTTTGTAGGCTTCTTCCAGCGTCATGTGCTGGTACTTGACCAAGTAGGCTATGCAGATTGTTGCTGACCGACTCACACCTGCCAAACAGTGGACCAGAGTTTTGCCACCTTTCCTGCCAACCTGAGATGTAGACAGACAAGAAACACATAAAACATGTCAGCTAGAGTGTCTCAAATATTCTAACTGAAATGGGAGGATGGAAAGGGTTGGGGATTGAGTAACAGAGAATCCAAAGAAGTATGTGGACATGTGGAATCCATGAAAGTAAATGGAGTTGTTGGGGAAGGTAACTAAATAAGAGGTAGAGCATTTTAAGAAACACATAACCAGAGAAATTACAGAGAGAAACAAGTGGAAAGCATTATAAATATTGAAAACTGACAGGATCAATGAAGTTATACCCGATCAACCATCCTTATCACACATCGGACAAGTCAGATCCCATCTTCAGTATCTCCCTCAGCGTGTGGTAACTGATAACACCAGTTCTGTGTTGGTTTACCACTGTTCTCTGCCTATGTGTATGGTGTTCATGAACGGCATCTTTTGACATGAAGTTCTTGTAGTTTTGTCAAGGTTTCCAATTCATTGTCATCTCCTGAATCACCTATGGGCCTGCCTCCTTGAGAACACTGAGATGATCAGCCCGGTGGCTAGTGCAACAGTCTCTGTACAAGCTGACAGTAGGATAGCTCCATTCAGGCTGAGATGAGAACAAGTCTTATTCAGAAGTTAAGAGTTGAAAGGAGAGGCTGAAGACAGAGTGGGCAGAAGGAGAATGGAAACAGGGTGTCAAAGACTACAACAGATCAACTGTTAGACTTCCACCTCAGTAGCCCCCACTAGCCACTCTCTGCACTCCTGGCCTAATGTGATCATAACCCTACACAGGTCAGACTTTTCCTCTGGTACTCTGACCCCTCCTGTCCCTCGCCCAATGTTCTCCAGCGTGCATACTTGTCTTATTGTGTCTTCTGCTTGAGCCATCTATGATTATCCCCTTTTCAGCCTCTGACGCTTCACTGCATCCAGAGCTTCATACAGAGGGTGCTCTGCTTTATCTGCAGCTACTCCTGAGTTATGACTTTAGCCTGCAGCACCTTTAGCTGCAATTGTCAACAATCCAAGGATGTATCACACGCAAATGATCGGGGTGTCTCTTGTACAATCCGAGGATCACCCCGAATAGCTTCATTCTGTATGCGGTCTAGTTTCTCTAGCTGACTCTTTGAGACAGTGAGCAAACCCAGTTCATAATCAATTATTGAGATGATTAAGTGCTTGTATGGTGTGAACAGCATTCTTTGCCCCATGTCCACTGCTGCCATAATCTTTTTTAGGCCTTTGACACAACCACCTCTATGTGATCCTTGAGAGACAAGTTTCTGTCAAAGGGGATTTTCTGGTATTGCAGTCTGCTGCTCTCTTGATGTCCCTGCCATTTATTTTTTAGCGTTGGAACATCAGCTTTAACAATCCTGTTGTCCAAAGAACACTACAGGATGGTTGCTTTTTCGGGGTAATGACAGCACTCATCTCTGTACACCAGTCGATCATCTTATCTACTGTCCCCTGTAACTCTTCAGCTATTTCTTCTTCTTCTTCTTCTTCTTTGCGTTCACTGGCTGTATGTAAGCTGGTGGAACGTTTTGGTTGTTCATCCACTTCTGGACTGCAGTCCTGTTCCAGAACCAGTGTTCCATCTGCACCCATTTGACAGATCTGACACACCTGTGTGCAGACTGTTGGTTCCTTGCCTCTCAGCAAGATGCAGATTCTTGTTTTCCCTTTAATAGGGCCGGAGAACCCACACAGGATTCTTTAGCTATTTGATTCCGATCTCTTCCCTGTCTATATATAAGAATATCATCTGTAAATGACAGTATTCTACCAACTCCAGGTGTTTTCAGTTACCCAATCTTACTGGTAAACATACTGAACAGCACAGGTGAAATTGCAGATCCCTGAGGTAGTGCCGGGGCTACAATACGTGCTTTGGAGGTCCATGAACCCAGGCGGAGAGCTACCCGACAAGAATACAAAGCAGCTGCTATCCAGTTCAGCAACCAAGGACAAACTCCTGTCTCCATAAGTGGTGTCATCAAGATATTGTATCTGACTGTGTTGTAGGTATCTTCTAAATCAAGTGCCGTTGCTACCGTTTCCAGCCTGTTCTGGAAACCTTTGAAGGCGTCAAAGGCAACAGTGACTGTGTAATGATGTTATAAATAGGGATAATGTCAGGGGATGATTGGCATAACTGGGGAAGTCCCTGAGAGCATGTGTTTCACGGAGATATGGTGAAACGACAGGAAAGAGTGTGTCACGTGTGGAATGAGGAGATCTGGGGGATTGAGAACAGGTGGGCATTCGCGTGACTGGGCCCCCAGAGAGAAAGGATGGAAAATGAAGCTGTGAAGATGAATGGAGAATGACTAGAGACGTGTGGAGCTGAATCGGCGAGGAATGAATGATCGAGGAGAGCCAGCTGTGATGGTACCCTGTTTGATTGTCAAAAGCCAGCTGTGAATATGT